TATATATATATATATATAAGTATAAATAATATATATATAAGTATAAATAATATATATATTATTGATATATATGTATATATAAAGGTAATTTATCCTTGTAAAGTTAAATTACCTTCTTGCGCCATCTTGCGTTTCGACACGCTAAAGTCAGTTCAAATTCTGATTTTATATTAATTTTTGTAACGTAACAAACAAATAGACCGACAGCATTACCATATGAATAAATGATGAATATGAGTAAGTAGGCCTAAGTGAATAATTAAACAAATATATAGGCTATACGATCAATTTATAGTGCATTTGTATCAGACTCTATAGGATATTGTCAGTTTTGTTTATGTTCGCCCAACAACGGATTATTACAATAGTTTTGTCTAAAGCCTTTAACTCTCTGTACGAAGACCATCACTCCCTATTAACGGATCATCTCTACATAAGGGACAGGAGGTAAGGTTTCCAGAAGATATTTGGTCCATATATAGGCTACATCCTAAAATTGATCTTTTATTTACTAAAAAATATTTATAGTAGCCCAGTCGCGTTGCGATGAGCGCAAGTAGGCGAAAACATTTAAAAAATGAGTCTCATTGCAACACTTGCTCTCAATCGCATGAAATAACACTTAACTGTCTACATTAACGAATTTAGTCATTTGTTCCTCAAAAAGTTTTACCCCTCACGAAGTGAATAATGTTTTAGAGGAGAGAGAAACAATTTTAAAATATCATGTAGCTACACTACTATTAAGTAGTGCTATTAAGACTGCGTGTCCAGTAGTCCAGTCTAGCCTAAAGCTGATTTATTTTATGAGAAGCAGGACGCAGTGGTAGCAGACATATTGAAATCACATGAATATGATCAATATCAATATTTTCAAATAATATAATTATTTTTTTATTTGTGTAAATAATTAAGTTAATTAGCTTTAAATTAGCTCTACTTCTGAAAATCTTTTGTAGCCTATCCTTTTCATAGAAATCCTTATTTAGTTACAAATGCAATATAGGCCTATTTACTAAGTTAAAAAAATGCTGCACAACAGATCATTCCCTTGAAGTTTTTGTTTTTCATCACTTACAGTGAAATGTCACGGTCATACACAGTTATGAAGAAACACACAGACTTCGGTGACTCATTCTGGAGTTTTGGAAAAGAGTAGGACTTCAAGCCTCACATTAGACACCTTGAACCTGTTCTCACTGAGTAACTATTTCATGAATCAGTTTCTCTCCCCTAAAGTATAAAAAAATTGGCTCAGCTGCAGTTGAAGTTACTTGTGAATGACAGCTTTTTAATTTTTCCTTTAGTGTTTGGAGCAGTAGAAGCAAAGTGTCAAAGTTTTATTGCATAACTTGAATCATAAAGCGAACAGCATTTTTGAGTGGGACAAATGAGAGACTCTTGAGTCTTAATTTTAAAGCTCTGATGTTACAACACATTACAGTTAATGGTGAGACTTGTGCTCTGTCTCTAGCCACTGTCAATATTTCAAATACTCAAGTCAAACATAAAACCTATGTGTATCCTATTCATATGATTTTATGGAGAGGATTTTTTTTCTACACCAAGGGTGTCGAAACTCGGTCCTGGTCTGGAGGGCCACTGTCCTGCAGAGTTTAGCTCCAACTTGCCTCAACACACCTGCCTGGAAGTTTCTAGTAATATACCTAGTAAGACCTTGATTTGCTGATTTGGGTATGTTTAATTAGGGTTGGAGCTAAACTCTGCAGGACAGTGGCCCACCCAGGACCGAGTTTCGACACCCCTGCTCTACACTATATTAATATGATATCAATGGTTTTAGATGTGACCGTGACTGGAAATCCCTTTTGCGCTGGATACCTGAACCTCGATACAGTGATGCCCCATTTCCACACATCAAAGACATAAAGTCTCCCAATGAAAGGAAACTACGAGATCCTTCCCACGTGAGTCAGGCTTTGATCAGCAAAGTATTAATAAAAGAATCTCTAGTGGCAGCTGTACATGAAAACTTTCCTATGACTTCGTTAGAGTAATCACTAAGGCTGTAAAATCTAAGACATTTTTCAGAATCTTTTATATTTATTGGCATGTCCATTTAGAGGCTAATAGGGTGTCCGTATCTGAGTGGAGCTTTTATCCAAACTTTGGACAGCCCAAGACCTATCACACTGGAAAGAGATGTTTTAAGGATGGCATTATTCATACAAGAAGCATGAGATGCATTTCAGAAAATTCCCTGGAATCATCCATAGGGAGGAAAAAGCAGGGTAAGAGCTAGTTTATCAATGCTAATAACGTTACTTGCTGCTATTGTTCTTAATTATTCATATAAAGAGAAATTGCATTTAGTAATGTGTAGTCAGTGCACCCCAAGTTGTTTTAGGTCATGGGTAATTTAGCATTTTTTCTTATATACAGTACATAGTTCGAAACATTTGTAGTCTGAGAGACGTTCAGAACTTTAATAAACCATATCTTCTTGTTTTTTCAGCCACAGGCAAATGCAGCATCTACCCTTCAACAAAGGTCAGACCATTTCTAGTCCCTGAGTACAGCTCTGACTTTCACAAATATGAATCATCACTGCGCACAGCCACTTTTGGGTAAGGACCAACATGCTTACTGCAGATGCAGTAAGATAGATCAAAAGGATGGGACTGTAGCCATGTTTTATTGCAAATTAATGAACATAAAAACACCCTTTGTTCCACTTTCTGTGAAAGGATATATCAAAGTGCAATGTATCAAATCTCCTCATTGAAACTGAATATACACACAGCCAACAATTTGGACTTTCACAGCACACTGTAGGGCAATTGGAAGATGTCCAAAGAAAAGGAAAACCCAAAGGCTATAAATACACAAGAACTGAATGATTTAACAAGACTAATTAACCAGAAACACCTGCAAGACAAGAGCGAGGAGACAAAACTTCAAAATAAGAGCACAGACAGATAATTTTTCTGACATATTTACTTGTATATTACGTCAGGTCCAGGCCTTTTGCCACATTTAAACTGTTTATTCACCTAAAACCCCCAACAAAAGAGAAATAATATTATGGTGGCCTGCACCATACAACTTCATGGCTGATATGAAATATCTTTGGAATTTCTTAAGGTGTATGTACTGTATATATTTACAGTCCACCGTATGCAGAGAAACATAAAAGTCGAGAGGAGGACATTCTTGAAGTCAAGAGCAGCTGGAGACCAGCACCAGACATCTATGACAGGACAGTTTTGCTGGACACCTAATTTGGAAGGTGTCAGACCATGCTTACATATTTATTGTTGTTATGTGTTGTTATTGTTAGTGTTTGCTATTTTGTTAGACATATTTTAGTTTTATCGAAGTGTTGAAGCAAATAAAATGCTTTTCTTTCCTTCAACATTACCTTATGGTTTTCCATTGAGTATATTTTACAATATTTAGATATTTATGGTTTAGCTCCAGAACTTCACATTGGAAAGGGTTGAATCAGGACAAAATGTTATGGGCTTCAGACAGTGAAAATGATTTGACCTTTTCTTTGCCTTATTAGTTGGAGGTCCGTCAAATAGATTTTCCTTAATTCCCTGACAAAGACAAATGCATGTCTTTTCACTGTGCCAAAATGTAATTGCAGGACAGAATAGGGAACAGTTAAGTATGATTGTGTAGGAAAGATGTTTATAATTGCTAATAAAAGAGGAACAGAATCTCTTTCACTCTTCTTGTTTCATCACAATCTAAATTCACCATACTGCATCATACCCAGTAAGATATAATTAGCCAGTTGTATTGTAGTCAGTTCGTTCTTGCACTGAACCATGTAATCTAATAGCAAAATAACTGTTCATAAACTGTTATTTCATAAAATGAGGATCAAACTCAACTTGCATGAAAGCATTTTAAATAATATTTTATATTGGGTTTATTTGCTTTTGTAAGAATTTCTGTGGTGAACCATCTGTTGTGTTTTTATCTAGGGTAGTTTTGCTGCATATTCATTGTCCATATGATTCATTCAAAGGACAGATGAATAATACCCATGAGTTATCAACACTGTACAGCCTGTATGTTGGCATTTGTATGCATCTATACTTTCTCTGACCTCACACAGCACACTTTGATAATAT